CCCCCTCCCACCAAGTTCCCAGGGGTCAGAGCAGCTGCTCCTGGGGAGCCATTGGGAAGAGCCTGTCCTAGAGCCAGGGAGGAACAGAGCCTTTGTGTCCCAGCCCCATGCAGCCGTCAGGGCAGCCGCGCAGGCATAATAGCCATAGTCAGCACATTGTTCTCCCTGACGGCTGCAAGCTCACTTCTGGAGGAGCCACAAAGCCCCCAGCCCCCTCGCCTTGCCTGCAGCTGGGACAGGAATCACTGCCCCCCCCCCCAAGAAGGGGCCCTAAGGCTTCTCCTCACCAGGCCACAGGGACCACTCACCCCTCCACCCTCCCAGGAAGCCACAGGAGGAAGAGTGAAACTTTAGCGGGCTCTGGAACAGGGAAACCTCAGACTTACTTTTTCTTCTGGTCAGAGATACCCTGGCAAGCAGCTAGACCAAAATCCCCCACTTTCAGCTCCATGTTTTCATTGATGAAGAAGTTGCCTGCAAGTCAAAGGTGATGCGTCACCACAAGTCCCCGTGGGGCAACGGGCTCCCCACACAGCACCCTGCCCTGACCGCAGCACTCACCCAGCTTGAGGTCTCTGTGCAGGATGCCCTTGAGGTGAAGGTATTTCAAGCCCGAGATGATTTGTTTGAGGTAATAGCGCACTTCGGGCTCCAGCAGAGTATGGCGGGCCTTCCAGATGTGGGCCAGGGACTGCAGAGGAGAGAAGACAGCTTGGTGAAGGCAGGCAGGGAGAGCAGGCAGCCCTGCTGACTAGGCAAGGGGTAGGCACGGTCAAAGCCAGTTCTTCCAGAAGTTGCACATCCACAAATAATCCTTTTTCCACAGCCATGACCTCAGCAGTCTCCCCACACGAGGTTGAGGTTGCTCAGCACAGCAGGGGAAACACTGGATTTATGGTGGCCCCACCAGCAGCTACAGGTTGCCAACATGAGTGGGCAGCCTGAGTAGGACAGGCAACCAGCAATGTTCCCAGTGCTGTGTGAAACCACACAGGTTATGGCTGAGCTCAGGGTGCGACAGAGCAGGCAGCCCAGGAGAGCTAGTATGCTAACAAAGCACCTCAGATAAGGTCTTCTCCAACCAGCCACAGCTCTGCTTAGGAGATCCTTTGGCAATGAGGTCACACCAGTGCTCACCTTCCTACTGCAGTGTTCCAGGAAGATGTAGATGCTCTCTGCATCCTCAAAGTAGTGGGAGAACTTGACAATGTTCTTGTGGTGCAAGTCCCGGTGCAGCTCAATCTCGTTGGTGATCTGAAAGGGAGCAGCAGTCTGGGGTGAGCACAGGACCCTTGCTGCACCCTGCCAGCCCAGCACCCCGCCAGCCCCACAGCACCCACCTTCTCCCGCTGGTGTGGTTTAGCCACCCGGCTGTGAAGAATGACCTTCACGGCATAGGTTTTGTTGCTGGAGAGGTCTGTCATTTCATAGCATCGTGCAAATCCACCCTGCAAGGGAAGAGGTGGTTACGGATGGGTGACACAGCTCTTCGCCCCTGCCTGCTTACAAGCCTCCTCCTCCATTCCCTCGCAGCACAGCCTGGCAAGCGTCACACGCTCCCTCCTGCTGCGTCGCCCACTAAGATCTGAACTATGATGCTCTCAACCAGGGATTTTCTTCACCCAGTTCCTGTAAAACCTCCAGGGCTTTTTTCCTCCCACCATGGCCGGACTCCACACCTTTCCATATGACAGATCAGCCTGGAAAGTCCTGCGCAGAGCAGAGAGCCCGGGGACCGGAGGCCACCAAAAGGCAGCCCCACGGAGACAGGTTTTTCCTGCCGTGATGTC